TTGGTAAGGCAAGCACAATTATATATTCTATCCTGTATTATTTATTATAACATTACGTAGCAAGCTATCTTAGCTGGGCGTCCACTGTCCAGACTTATGGCTACTGCATACTTACAGCTCCTGGCCGTCGCTCTGGGCCCTCTATAGGTCACTGGAGCTGCTCCGGTAATCGATTACGGATACGCCGTTCACCAACCAATGAAACCGGCGCTCGTGAATACATAATGATACATCAGCTGATTGCAGACGCGACTGTCCACTGAACTTGCAGCAGATCAATGAAAGTCTGATTGGTGTAACATGCAGACGGGGTGCGAGTAGAGCTAATCACGATAAAGTATCGTGTCGGACCTGAGAATACACCTGTCCAGGGGCGCGGTCAGACATGGGGTGCCAGCGGGCGCCGTGTGCTTATGATGAATCATTCGTCGGTCGGGAGCTGACCCCCAACCAGACCCCACACCGGCACTGCTAGTCACACAAAGTGAACAACCAAAACATGCATTAACTACCGGGATTAAAGCACGCCAGCTGAGGCGTAGCGTGATGGGTGGGCGTCCGTCTGATGTTTTCCACGAGTGACGCTGCCTTGTCACGTCAGCGTACTGGCGTCGCGACTCGTCCACGGTTGCATTACGGCTAGCCCGTGCTAGCGTTGAGATTGGTCTGAGCTGGCGTCACGGCTGGCTGGAGCTGGCGTCACGGCTAGTCTGTCCCGGTGTCACGGCTAGTTGATTCCGACATTACAGCTAGTCTGTGCCTTTACAGAGCTCCGATAGGGACAACTGGAGCTTTTATGGCATTGCTTACTTCCTGAGTTGAGTTCTTAGTAACCTAAATCTGACCACACATCCTGTAGTTTCTAATTACAATGGACCGTATTATGGATGCTTTATCGTAGCGTAGTTTCAGTCAAATTCTGGCAGTCGCATAGCCGCTCTAAGTTGCAAAACTTAGAGCGACTATGCAAATAGAACTTACGCATTTTATAATTTGAAATAAACCCACAGAGTTGGGACCAGATTCCTAATTCGAGAATGATCATTTCACGCAAAACTAAGACTGCTGTTTGTATCATCCTTGTCGGCAACAGCAAAGTTTTTTCACTAACTCACATAGCCATGGTCACCGCTGATGCAACGGACAAGGTCAAAGGTCAACGGCATAGCATGATTCATGCTCTACTCGACCGAATGCGTAGCTGCACCTTGAAGGCACATAGATCGCCACAGCAGGTGTGCCGGGCCGGGAGTTGTGTGCAGTGTGCGGGGAAGGCCACAGCCAGCACTAAGTTACGGAACCCCTGCAAGCGGTCGCCTGGATGGCACCGAAATGTGGCACGCGGTCACCTAGATTCCACCAAAGCGTGGCAGGCAGTCTGCAGGACACCAAATCGCGGAAGGTGGTCAGCTGGACACCACTAAATCGATAAGTCTGTGGCGACTGCGGCGCTTACGGCTTCGCGACATGCACCGGCTTTCTGCGGCCATCGATCGCAGGTGGGGGAGGATAAACTACCTACCTATACAGCAGCCTGCAGGACGTTATAATCAGCTCTAAAGATTATGCATCGGTATAAAGTTAACTCTAATGCAGAGCTCCGCCTGCTCTTTTGAAAGAGCAACATAAATCAATGGATTGCTCATCAGAGTTGACCTATCCACATCGCCTTTGACATGTCTACTGCCTGAGTCGTGACGTAATGTCACTGACTGCGACATCATCCAGTCAGTGCACCGGTACATCTAATAACTTACCCTCCGCCTGTCGGATTCGGCCCATCATCAACACTGTCACCATGGCAGCTGAGTCTCAGCTGTCGACGGTTCAATAGAACGCGTCACTTTTTATACCGGGGCCGGTGGATAAGGCGGATAGTTACCTGTAACAATTCTTGGCGCAAAGAATCTGAGCATCAGCTTGAAGTTGATGTTATAAGCCATACCTAGGGATGCTTTGGTTGGAATCACAATTCAGGACTTATAGCGAACATGCACAACATTTTTTGTTGAACGGAAGGATGAAAATTAAGTGGCTATGACAGAAAACAAAGGACAAATAACCACTTTTGACAGCTAACTACCCCAATCTGTACTGTGGGGAAAAGCAGAAAAAGTCGCAATGCACTGAGACTGGAACACTTTCATTCTGGCTTAAATTACTTCGCCCGGTATTGTTAAAATCACACTCGTGCATCTCATCATTCAAAAGAAAAACGTTACCCACAACGTAAAAATTTCCGTACGCCTCGCAATTCGCATAGGAATACAATTATTCTGATCATCCATCCATGTAACAGAAAAATGTCCACTTGAAAGTTTCAAAGCCCAAGGCGACCTCGCAGTTTTCTCTCAATTCTTTTCGACGCAAACAACTGGCTCTGCCGGCGCGTTCGCCGCAGCTCATTTCGCCCTGAGCGCCGGTCGCTCCCCTCGTCGCCGCGGGTCAAGTGCGGGCGTTCGAGTGTTGACTTCGTTATGCCTCAGTTGGGCGAGCGCCCCAGGGAAGAGCGCTAGTGCCGGAGGAGCCAGTCTCCTAGGGGGAGCGGCGTGCTGTGTGCCGTGCTGTGGGAGGCAGTGGCAGTAGGGCTTATTGGCTGACGATCTATTTTTTAGAGCGATTCCACTCCTCTCTCTCTCTCTCTCTCTCTCTCTCTCTCTCTCTCTCTCTCTCTCTCTCTCTCTCTCTCTCTCTCTCTCTCTCTCTCTCTCTCTTTCTCTCTCGCTCTTTCTCTCTCCCCTTCTCCACGCTATAATCCAAATGGCATTAAAGGTGATACGTTTACCCTACACACAGAAAAATATTAACACCGTTAGCGGTGTAATTGCACAGTACATATCTGAGCAGAACACTGAACACTGTTAGGAGGGTTGGGTGTTTTGCTACATGTAGTAAAACACCCAACCCTCCTAACAGTGTTCTATTACCTTCTTCCTGGTGTTCATTTGGAAGCGCGAGTAATTTAAGCGGGGAAGGGACTAAATTAACTTTCCTCAAGTGCTCAGATATGTACTGTGCAATTACACCGCTAACGGTGTCAATATTTTTCTGTGTGTAGTAAGTTCTAAGTTGAAGCTCAAACAAGTCAATTTTCACCATAACTAGTTATAGTTGTTGGTAGCAGTTTAGGTACAAAACAAGGACTTGAATCACCAAAAAAAAAAACTTTTACCTACTTCCGACAACTTTTGCACCGTTCATCAGGTTTTATGTCAGAAAACTTAATTTGGTTTGGTTGGCTGCTAGTCGTCAATGTTGTTTACAAATAATCCAGATGTATTTCCCCTGGTGCCTCTATTGCCCGATCAGCGTCACTTTGTAACTGCCCCCACCTGCTGGTGGTCATACCAAGATGGCGGCGATGATGCACACCGGTCAGACTCGGTCGGCGGGCAAACAGCGGTCCCGATGGGAGGATAACCGGTTCCCGAGGGACGCGCTGCGCCGACTGCCGCCGTCTTCATCCCCGGCAGTGGGTCGTGTTTACCTCAAGCTGCAGAACCGGGCTGGCGTCTGAGCACTTCAACTGAGAACTCGGGAAGAGCCGGTGGACGGGCCACGCTCACTCCAGTCGTGTTTGCCCAGTCACGACCACGACGGCGGTGGAGCACAACTGTGACGGCTGGTGGACGGGCCCTTCTCCTTTGATCGATTCCAGGGAGACCTCGCCCGTTTACTCGGGAGGGACTGAAGGATGATCAGCCCTTCCTTCCGGTGACTCCCGATGATGATAAAGTGGTGGGCTAAGTGACGATAACTTCTCGATACCTGCACCTGGCCTGTATTGGGGAATAGCTTGGCGGACTAACTCAACTTGCGCCTCAGAGAAAGACTTCTAACAGCATAGAAGAGTACCTATATTGGTAATGCACTGCCCGCTCCGGAAATAGACGTCCCTGCCGTTCTCAAAAGTTAATGTAAAACTGCAAATGTTATGCTGGCAAACCTTTTTTATTTCATTTTGCTCCTATCCCACCTCATTTCAAGTAATGTTACTTCTTTTATAAGACCATCCAGTCTTCTTTCGCTGCCCAACTTCCTTTACCTTATGTCGTGTACGCCTATCATTCTCTTACTCAATACATCATTAGCAGGGGTGGACAAATGTGCTGAGTTGGGGTACCTAATGATTCATTAGGGTGTATCCCACATCCTCCATCGTATGGCTGATCTTAGGCCCATGGCAGCGGCCCACCCCCCTCCCCCTCCTCGCCCCTGTACTGCCTCCTTTGTCCCAACGTTCCTTAGACCTCAGCACCTAGTGCAGCGGCAGCTCTGACCGGAGAGGGGCTCGTCTCTGGCCCCTCCCCTCCGCTCCTTCCGTCTCTTGTGGCCAGTGTCTGTACCCACAGCTGGCCACAATACTGCGAACTGGCGCTTCTCCAGGGTCAACACTACGACTGGGTCGGACGGGGCCAAACTGGCCAACGGCCGAACGTTTACCGACGACAGAGGGGGGTCAACCAACTGTCATAAGAGGGAAGTAACTTAGAGAGGGTCCGTCCAACTGACAAAGAGGGGTCTCACTGGCTGACACAGAGGGTTCAACTGGGATAGAGTGGTCCCACTGGGTGATATATTCGTATATGCAGGGGTTCCACCAATTCACACATGCCTAAATTACCTATACTTTATACCGGCTGACACAGGAGAATGCACTCGGAAAAAAATGCAGAGCAGCATTAGAACCACGCCAATAGGGTCATTCCTACTCGCCTAAGGTATAGAAGTGAACAGGTACTATCCCCAAATCTCAGTGCAGAAGCTAATTGTTAAGGCTAATTTGTAAGGACTACTGTTGTATGTATTGTCCACAGGCCGCCATGCCGCCATGCACTATTTGGACCTCCTGGCGGTTTCTCATAAACTGTCGTACTGTGCTACCGTGCAGCAGCTTACTGTTGGATGTGTCGTAACTGATCGCCCATGTTTTACTGTTCCCAGTCCACCGTGCAGCAGCTGAGTGAGCTATCTGACCGCCCATGAATTACGGTTTCCAGACCACCGTGCAGCAGCTCACTGTTCCAGACCTGGGAGTCGCTTCTCCAAGAGGTCGAGTCCGACAGTCAGATGCACGCCGACATAGCCACTGTCTACGGTACGTAACAATTGTCTACGATACTTTGCAACCGTGTATATCGCGTACACTAGGCATGTAGTACATACTCGTATATACACTGTCACTGAATATCACAATTTACTGTCACTTACATAACCTTCATAACACATGCATAATTAGGTACGAATCATGTCTATGTTGAGCCGTACAAACTATTCTAACATAAGTATTTAATATTTGTATAATAGATATGTAACCGTTATGTCTAAGCGGATGAACATAACTGTTTCTAGAGAAACATGTATGGGCTCCTGTCCGGCTTGTGTGAGCGGGGTTGGAATGAATTTTCCAGTGCTCGTCCTGTATCTCTAGCCACTGGGTCGCTCCGTCGTGAAATGTCATGCGTGCTCACCTTCCAGCCAAGACTCCATTGTCCCACCCACCTGGTGCACCGTATGTGCAATGAACATGGCACACCTGAAATCCTGATACAGTGCGGTGGATGGAGTGCTCCACCAAGGTGACAGATATCGCGGTGGATATCAAGCTATGCACCTACATGATGTTTTTTGCATTGTGGCAATAGTTCATCGGCAGCACCCTAGCACACCAAAGTAGTATGTGCGACATTAAAACGTCTATAAATTTACTTAAAACATTATTCCAAACAACAAATCACAACACTTGTTTATTTATCACGATGTTGTTGTCTTCCTAATGATAAGATAGAGGAATCTGCGGGCAATGATTTATGCTGATAAGTGACGGTTATTATCACTACGCTATCATGCATGCCTCTACCATTACCACACCTGATGGCGAACATGCATACTAGAAACTGAACCCATTTCCGGCCTCTCCTTCATCCATGAGTGGCGGCGCCATCACCGAGCTACTTGTTCAGCCTCGATGCTCTGATTTTCGGCACGGCAGATTGAGCGCCGAGCCGCTACGGCCTTTGCCACCAAGTAACGTGCAGACGCTATCGATTCCCTGGGCCGCTCTCGGCCAGTCGATGCACAATGCACATATTATGCAGATGGTCAGACACGGCCCTATTCTGAACTGCTCTGTGATATGACTTCCATCACTCGGGCCGTTCTCAAGCAGGACTTTACTCAACTGCTGGCGGCAAACTATAGAGCAGAATGGAACTGCTCAATTGTGACTCAGAATGGAATGGCCTTATCAAAGAAAGTATCCGGAACTCCCGTTGCCGCATTCTTCTTCTGGTATCATTTGACGAAGTGCTGAACGGATACGGTCTGAATTAGTGCCAGAGGTGCTCTTACCTACTCTTCTCAAATTTAATGATGCTTCTTTCTGTTCAGCCATTTCACGACTTTTTCTTATTAGATATGTAGACAGTGCTTGTAAAAGACGGTCGAATACAAACAACATAATGCAAATTTTTTCTTATTGATAAGTGCTTAGTTACTTTTCAACTTATGAAATGAAATATTTCGGATGAAAAACGACCGAAAAAGTAGTACATGCTCGTGTCAGGTCCTGCATGATGAATGAACCAGCAGCACACAGCCGTTCAGAGTCTGCTTGAGTTGTGATGCATAGACACCCACTTCTGACGGAATGTTTTCCCCCACAGGGCGTCAGGTTTCACGAGCTATTGTCGAGAAGTCTTTCCATAGAAAAATACAGAGCAAGAAAATATTCATGCATAAGGAAAGCTACGAGGCAATCCTATTGAAAACGGACGAAATGCTTCAGAAGGTGAGTACGGAGCGATGTTTTTTCCGTCAGGTGCCTAGTTGTTATACCGCCGGAGCTGCCGGCCGCGGCTCCATTCGGTCTCCAGTGCCGCCGAGACAGACTGGCATGCAGTCGCTCTGCTTTGTTCCTCAGCTGCCGCGTTCGCTCAGAACGCCCGACAATTAAGTGGAGGTGAAACCACATCTCTCGGGATAATCCGCATCTGGTTCGTCCCGCGATATCTGCGATTCAGCGCGCATTGTATGTGGTTTAACGCGCTTGATGTACGGTTCAGGCTGTGAGCTTGCATATGTGGGATTCTCAGCCGTTATATGAGTACATATTTTGGTCCCTGACCCGTTGTGTGGGATCTGAGCTGTTGTATGTGGATTGTGGTGTCATAAATTGGCATGTGTAGCAACATTTCTTTTTTTCCAACACTTCCAACACTTCCCATTTTCATTCTTAACCCGCGCCCCACTGGGGTCTGTGTATAACAACTGGGGGGGGGGGGGCTATTCACAGCCCCCTCCTAACTCCGAAACTACTGGCCGATCGTCAAAATTCAAACGGCATCTGATAGCCCCGGAACAAACTGTTGAGCAAAACCTAATTTCATAAGTAAAAATTATCGATATTTGGCTTGTTCACTTTTTGGGCTCTGGCTGCCGTCTTACAAGTTAGATCAGATTGATTTTTGGTTTACACACTCGTGAATAGATGCTTTAGATACCCTGATGGTACCAAACTTGTACTTTGATTTTCAGGTCAGGGTCAGGTCATCATAGGTCACGGAAATCTTATGTCATAAGTCGGTCACGTGACATATGTTTTATGGTCCATTTAGGCCATAGATTTCGAATTCGGTGTCGCCTGTGTCATTTGAGGCCATTTTCATCTGAATATAGCTGAAGTCAGGTCACTTTCAGGTCAAAGAAGGTCAAATTTCAAAGTTGAAATTTTTCAACAAAGAAACATGTCTATCGGATGCAGTTTGAGCTCAGGAACACGATGGTGCTATTTATATTGGTGCCTACGATATCAAAAACGCACTGAAAAATTGATTTGAAAAATTTATAAATGTGATTTTTTGCAATAATGCGTATAACTTGACTATTTTTGAAGATATCTAGCTAAAACTTGCTATAGTAAGTCATAACCATGTGTTCTATCATATGTATTCCGGTTTTAAGTAAAAAAATAATTGAAAAAAATAAAGAAAAATTATTTTTGTATTTTGTTATATATAATTTTCGAAATTTTCAAAACTGAAAATCTGAGATAGCAGTTTGATAGCGCAGTCAATTCTTAGTCCTCTCATGCAAAGAAGTTGAAGCTAGCTTAAGAACTGAGCTCTTGAGAGCGATTGCCGGGGTTCAATGTTTTGCGTCGAAATAGGCCGAACATGACGTCACTCCGACATCATTTCCGGCCGACCTATGGTAGCTAAGAAGTTCATATTTTGACACAAGGTGTCAAATTGATGCAGCCAAAGGTACTGAAAGTTTGGCGTCGATACATCAAGCGGTTTGGAAGTTATTGTAGAAAAACGGGAGGGGGCTATGAAGTGGGGCGCGGGTGTGCATTTCAGATTATGGTCCATTTTTAGTGGCGTTATGTATTACTGCTCTCGTTTTCAGTATACCAGTGTGAATTCTGTTCTCGTTTCAAGTGTCACAACATGTGTTTCTGACCCGTTCTCATGAGTGTCACTAGTTTTGTCCCGTTTCCATTGCCATAGTGTAATTTCTGTCCCGTTTCCAGTCAAACAATGTTTATTTCTAACCCGTTTCCAGTGCCACAGTGTATATTCCTGCCCCGTTTCCAGCACCACAATGTTTATTGCTGTCCTGTTTCCAGCACCGCAATGTTTATTGCTGCCATGTTTCCAGTGCCAAGATGTTTATTGCTGCCATGTTTCCAAATTCCAGCACCACAATATTTATTGCTGCCATGTTTCCAGTGTCACCGGGTGTACTCGGACGCCTACCGGTCTCACGTCTCCTCTCCGAGTAACGCCACGCTGGCCGCCTATTTCGACGCCCACAACGCCTACGTACAGCAGCTGCACGCCGCTAACGCCATGGTCAGCGAGTTCAACGGCTCCACGCACCCCCAGCTCCTGCAGGTAGGGTCTAGTGAGGATACTGTTGCTGCAGGTAGAGTATGATGAGGTGTTCATAGCTGCTGCAGGTATAGGGTCTAATCGACCGGAGTATATTCCATTTCATTATAAGGGAAGATGAGCGACGAGCGTCATGATGGCTGCAAGCCTGAGAATTAGGAGCACTGCACAATTCTTTGTTGTGCATGTGCGTTTCCATCGCAGGTGGCATAATGCGAATTGAGATAAGAAAATAAATAAAAGGACCTATGTATGAACTTTGTCGTGTCGTGAAAGCTCAGTAGCGCTGGCATGTCATTGAAACGGCAACCTTGTATATGTATGTGCAGTTGCACATAGAACGACCCCGGCCATCACGGTATCTCATTTAAGGTTGTGAGATCAATGTGCTGCAGTTTAAGTACTCCTACATTTCCTCCGTTTCGGCATATTAATTTCATTGCCGTGCCTAGCTCTGCCATGCAGGAAACCGCCACAAGCTGCAAACCCTGAAATGCTGCACATAACTCGGTCATGCCTTCGTTCATATTCAGAAGTTCAATAGCGCGGCCCGTTTTATTGATGGATCATTAAATGATGATGTACGAAGTTGTGGGTTAGTTCTCAGAAGTCCTTCAATAAACTGATCTCTGGAACTGAAGCGACCTCCAATAGCATGCCATGCCGAATGTCAACTGCCACCGAGGAGAGGTGAACCACTCCCCTTTGAACAACAAAGTTTGGGTAGCATATTATAGCAGACAAGCTTTTCTCATCCGCGGCTTTGCCTATTCAGAATGAACTGCTCCCAAAGCCATATGTGGATTTTTACTGCCTCAATATCTGGCCGCCGACTGCCCGGCACGGCATGCTATAAAACCACGGGCCCACCTCATAAGCGGCCATATATTAGGACAAAGCTGGGTCAAACGCTTTATCGCGGGATGTTTTGGCCACATCTTCTATTATAAGAACGTAGCCGCAAATACATCGCATTTCGTTAGTTTCATACACAAGTGCATGCATATCCAAATTAAAGGACAGTTCGGAATCCTCGACCTTTTAGCCAATAGCAATGTTCTTTACTATACTTCATGGTCAATTTCGCTTAAGAACTTTGCAAGATCATACTCCAGCAAAGCGTTAAAAGAACCGATAAAGGCCTTATCGCACGACGCCTTTAATGATTTCTTGCAGCTCTTGTATTTGGAAACTGCCCTTAGATTTCGACCTTTTCCCTGGACTACATCCGGCCGTTCAGAGTGCGCATAATGCCAACGGAGTCTGCCATTTCGCCAGACCAGTCCGGGTCGATCGGCTAAACCTCCGAAAGAAACCAGCGAGAATAACGAAATTACAGAGCTTCAGCTCAGTCCGTGGCATTATGTGATCGGATTAGCTCCCCCTGTCCACGTCACTGGCGTCTGGGGCGCTGATTGGTCGAATTAGGGACGGATGCCGCCTGTCGAGCGCCAATCAGCGACGGCGCTTCGGTCACCGCCGCGGGCTCAACTGCGTGTCAGACGGCAGGAGGATTAAATTACGCAACGGCCGGGTCAGACTCAATTACGGAACGACTTGTGACGGGACGGGAATGGTTACTGACGAGGATATCCGCCGTGGATGAATGTCATGATCTGTAGGGTGCTGACATTTGTGGTGATTGGCCATTGAAATTGTATGCCCACCCATAGACGTCTTTAAATGGTATTAAGAATTGATGGCCTACCTGACTGTCTAATTCTACCCTTCTTTTCAGTGTTTTCCGTTACGCCAACTGCCTTAATTAATGCCCAACTTTTTTGTCCTCAGGAGCTGGAGGAGGTACAGAGTGACGTCACCTCCATAATCGCAGACAGCCTCCTGCTGGCCGCCGACCTCGTCACCTGCAAGGTGAGACTATCGATACAATGACGTCATCGGATGGTATGACGTCACTGGCGTGATTTAACGGCGCGGTGATACTATGTTGCTTACACTCGTGTAAAATTCACAGGCACCAATTTGTGATTGTGAGGTGTTCGTCTTGCGATACTCGTACGTGATTTGAATCGTTCGATATTATCCGCCATCCTGTGACTAACACGTCTGTTTTTTATGATTACCTATTGTGTTGCTAGCTTTACTCGAATGTCTATGTCCTGAAATATTTCAATCCACCCCTACGAAGGAACGATGGAAATCTTGTAGCAAATTGCATTGAAGTGACGCACATACCTATGACGTCTTCACAAATAAGTAAGGTTACCTCAGTCTAAAACTAAGCCACCAAGCCGCAAAATAAACTCGTTTCCCAGTTAAAATGAGTGTTGTGACGATGATGGGACCCATTCGTTCACGGAAGAGCGTGCTCGCATCACAGGAGTCTGCTCCAAACACGAAGTGGAGAGCTGGTTATGAGATAAACGTCTGATGGCTCTTTTATGACGTGACGCTAACATTTACACCTCCTTTATGGCGCCCCAGAGTTTATGAACACCGCTCCAAGATATCCGTGGTCTCATTTTACGGTGGGCTGGCAACCAGAGATATTGTGATGAGTCCCCTGCCACCCGGTGACGAAATTTCAGCTTGTAAGAAGCTTACATGCACACCGCTTAATATTATTACACAGGCAGCATTTGATGGCCATTTAAAGTGACCATCCCACCTTAACATTAGTTTTGAGTTGAGATAGCCAAAATGGGGTCCCTGGCTTGCACTTACCGGTTTGAGCACTCACAAGATCGAGAAATGACTCAAATCGAAAATATATAATTTCAAAGATCCAGCACTTGGATTCAGGGGGGCTAATGCATTAGAATGCCCCTCTGAATGTGTGACATCAGCGCACATCTAACGATTTTATATCTTTACTAAAACGGTTGGTAGCACACGATGGTATATGCTGCTTTGCGCAATGCGCGCAACAAGTGCCGCACTTTCAAATAAAGTCGCTAGGAACAGTGGAGATCCCAAAAAGAAAACAAAAGTAAAAATCTAATATCTTGAAAATCGGTGAATATTTTTTATGAAATTTGGTAGATGTTCGTTATCGTTCTTTCTAAACCGAGCGACATCACTTTCATGTGAATTCATTTACTTTTTGAAGGTGGGAGGGTCCGTTTCATGTGGTCAAAGATATATACTACACATAGTTTGAAGTCCTATGCATTGCCTATTCATTGTATTAAAACCATAAATATAGAAAAGAAAACGGTTGTTTAAATGAGGAAAATATACGTAAATCTGAAGGTCCCAAACTTGAAAACAGTAAAAACTATAAGCAACCTCTTGCTTTGCCAGCGGCGCTGCTAAGGGCCGGCTCCGGCAACAGTTTCTCTCGATTGTCCGGAAATTCGCCCGTCGGACATAGTTCCGGAACAGCAGCCAGCCACCACCCTGACCTTTCGCTTCAAGGCGAAACGATGATTGCTATAGACTGATCAAAAGAAACCCAGCTGAAAGACGGCCAAACCAACGATGAAAAATTCCAGTCGTTTAGAAAATAACGAAGCAATGGCTACCTGTATGGTGATTGCTGATTTATCCTTAGATAAAGAACATTCAGTTGCCTATCATTTTTTTTTTTGTATTTAGGGCCTTGATCATTTTGTTTTTAGAAAGGCCTATAATTTTATCGTATTCTGGAAACATTTATTTTTGGTAGGTTGCATTCTGCACGCCTGAGATCTAGGACCTGAACGGCCTCAGCAGCCCCTGGCCTCACCCGAGCGTTGTCCCTGCAATACAGCCAAATACGGGCAACGGACTCGCTCCCAGTTATCGTTGACATTAAATCCGATCAAATCGGAGCCATATGCGCCCTAGAATGTAACGTTTCAGCGGAAACTGCAGCCGTTCCGGGACTAGCCATTCAAGTGGGAATGAACGCGACTCGTTTGAATAGCTGCCCGTCGAATCGCAATGCCCCCGCGGTCAGCCTCCTAAGCGTGCCCGGACCTCTTCGAATTGTATAAAGCCGGTGGCCGACTTGCATAAGTGAGCCACGAGCTCAGAGCTCCTCTTTGATTCGAACGCATACACTATGTAATAAGGGTCACGAGCCATCAGACCTCAAGAAATGTCGGGATAGAAAAGTGAAAGCCTGATGAATTTGGCGACATACCTGGTATAGAAAAATGGCTGATGTGGCTACATTTGTAATGTTTTGTGAGCAAATCAGCAACATCGGTCTTACCCTTATAATCACGTTGCCCTGGAGCCCTTTCCGAAAGGGGATTTTATGCGTCACTGATCGTTTTTCATGGTATATCGCCTCTATGTGGTTAAAACACCATCCATCCATCGATGACCGAAACACCATCAATCCAAGGAATGAGTGCCAATCGATTTGACATTTATACTTAAAGATGATTCCCAAAGACTGACAGACTTCATGATTTATTTGGAATAAAAACTTAATTGGATAAAACAGAACACTGAGAAAATTAAGAGTTGAATATTGATTGCTGAACTTTCTATGGCTGCCAACCGGACACCGCCCAACTGCACCCTGTTTCGTTTGGTTTGGTTGAGCTTGGCTCTTTCGGTCTGACGAGACCATTGCAGAGTCGGAGGGATGATAGGAATTAGGGGGAGACGTTGGTCTGATCGGGTACCCTGGTGCTCCGCCGGGACTGGGCCCATCGCTTGGACAGGCCACCTAGTCCACCTAGTCCTAGTCCATCCAGCCCGAAACAGAGGGTTGAGGCGTGGAGGAGAAGGATTTGACTGTCCAGAGGATGGGAACGACGGGATGGCACCCGGTTTCAGCCGCGGCAGATGGCGCGGCCTGCTCGCTGGTCTACCTCGCCCTCACCATGTTCTCTCCTCCCCCAGACGGTGGAGCGCAGCCGGAGGTACGAGTCTCTCTGCACTCTGGCCCGCGGCGTCAGCTCGCGTGCCGACGTCACAGCCCTGTTGCGGCACGCGGAGCTTGTGCCTGCGGCCTCCTCTGTCAACGGCCGGCCAGCCCTCACCCCTTTCGTGCCGCCCAAACCTCCGGCCGACTCGAAACTGGGCGCAGTTCAGGTGAGTTCGCCCTAGATGGCGTCAGAGGTACAGATGTCGCCCGATATCGGGGTGGGTCTCGTCGGAGCTGAGGTCTGAAGATGTGCCTCTGTCGATCGTCGGAAAGGTGGCGCTAGCTAGGCTACGTTTTGCGATAGACCGAGCGTTGAGCATTGAGCATCAGTGCTGGGTAGGTGCGCATTTTTTTTAATGAATTTGTATGTACGCCATACGTCTTTCTATGCTCACGGCCAATCCACAATCACATCCGAGTCTTTGAAAATAGTTCCCTGTTCCGTGCCGTAGACATTGGCTGGTGAGAGGTCAATATGAGACGTGGAAAATCAGTTTCCTAGCTCGGTGAACAGAAAATATCGTTAGAAAATCACCAGCCATCTTATCTTATGCATAATGGGTAAACTATCTGCTTTTTACGCATTAGCCATCAGATTAAGAAGACGTAGAAAAAAATGAGAAGCAGGAAGCCTTACACGAAAGGAATACGTGTAAGTCTCACAGGTGGATAATTTTGTAAGGACCTGTTGGTGCTCGGGTGGTGCAAATCTGCTGCTCCAGCGCGCTGGCTTGACTTTGGAGCCGCAACAGATGGCAGGGTCAAGGGAAACCACGTTGGGGCGGCGGATCTGTGGTGCACGAACACGTACAGTTCCTTACAACTCGCCACCTTTGCTAAGTCCTAAAGGCTGTAACTTACTAGTTGAAAATAAAACTATAAATGCTATACACATTTAATTTAAAAAGGAATAATGACCGTTCAATGTTCACCGAGACCAGAGGTTTGAATAACCTCTTTTTGGGTGCGGGCTAGATGTAAACTGCGGAAAGGAGATGTCTGACAGTGTCATGGTGTGGACCAGTCCCGCAGGCCAGATGCTGAAGAACCCCGTCATAGACGGATGGAAACGTGATGCATTGTTTTATGCCTGAAACACATCTATGATAAATACGTGAGCGACGTTGACGTGGACTTTCACCTTGAATGTCTACGATGTTCCGATTGATTTTCTGTTAATTGATTAGTTCCGTTTGTTTTCGTCAGTAACTTTGGTACTCTTTCTGACATTTCCAAAAGTGGCGTGGGTATACATCCCACGCTTCTGCAGGTTACCTGCGACGACCACCGTCATGATATATGTACGCCTTACCGAGTATTGTGTTTGATGTGGCACAAAGGGCTGACAGTATTATTTATTATTCACTCTTTGTCTCTATAGCCAACTATATTTCATGTGAAAATAAAGGTCACCTACCTTAAATCGACATTGGACGAGACTTTCTGCCCTCTACCTGATCAACTCCTCAGGTATTATCGGTGTTCTATTAAAAGTCGCCCTTGCGAGATAAAAGTACGCGCGCCCGGCACACGTTATCGGTAATCAGCGCTGGTGAGCAGGGAGCAGAAACTTGAAAGGCAACGGCGCTACCAAGCGATCACCTTGATATCGTGCTTTGTTGTGAGCGCCGAGCTTCGATCTGCCAGCGATTGCCTGACGCAGGATGTGAACGGCATCCGGTCTAGCCTGGCGCCAACCAACTGGTCGTTTTCCTCAGCGCTTTTCCTGCGCCCTGCGGTAGCGTCTAATCACAGGCAGCAACATCGCTATGGAGACTCCCAGCTGCAAGATCAAAACGCAACCGGCATCTCCCCTGCCCCTGCCAACCGACTCCCGCCTGCCTCCTGCACAGGCAGTGTGCTGTCTCTGTGTCCTGCTCTGCGGTACAGTCTGTGTCCAATACAGGCGCTTCAACTGTGTCCTGCGGTACAGCCTAGATACAGGCGTTTCAACTGTGTCCTGCGGTACAGTCTAGATACAGGCATTTGAACTGTGTGTCGGGCGGTACAGTCTAGATACAGGCGTTTGAATTGTCTGTGTCGTGCGGTACAGTCTAGATACAGGCGTTTGAGCTGTCTGTGTCGTGCGCTACAGTCTAGATACAGGCGTTTGAACTGTCTGTGTCGTGCGCTACAGTATAGATACAGGCGTTTGAACTGTCTGTGTCGTGCGGTACAGTCTAGATACAGGCGTTTGAACTGTGTGCCCTGCGGTACAGTCTAGATACAGGCGTTTCAACTGTCTTCGTGCTCTGCGGTATAGCCTAGATACAAACATATGAGCTATACGCATTCCAGGCCCATCTGGCGCCTGGCAGGCTCAGTCTGAGACCCTCGCCCTGCCGACCTCTTGCCCAGCCACTCTCTGCAGTCCGGCGGCAGGAGAGGCCACTCTCCGGCGCATCTCTCGACTCAATCATCCCCAGCGGCGGGCAGCTGGCAGCGGCAGCCGCGCTGATTCGCGTTCCTGACCCGGTGGCCGCCTTTTTGGGCCGATTGATCGTTAGTGGCAGCTCAGCGCCTCTCACGCGATATCCGGCGGCCCCTTCCGGCTCAAGTGGAGGCGCCGAGAGGTCGGCCGAGAGCAGCCGAACGCCGCTGTCGCTGCCGACCCGCATCGACCGCCGCCGCCGGCTGCCAACAAATAATGCGCTTTTTCGTAGAGCGGCGCTTATCGTTGCCGGTCCAAATGATGATCGCTGCCATCAGCCAGTGAGCCGAGTGTTATGCGCGATATTTGCCGCGCCATGAGGCACAGTTTTCCCTCTGTTTTTGCTGAGCGATAGTCGTTTTGGGAGCTTTGATCTCGGAGCTGACTGGAAGTGCATAAACTTGGTCCATTCTTGTTTCTTCTGTTGGTTCACGCCAAGTGTTTGGCTCATCATTGTGCAGTGTAATAACTTAGAGTTAACTTAACTTACTTAAATTAACTTAGAGTTAGAGTTCTGCATGGCTGCAATTTTCCACAGCCTAGCCGCCCCGCAGCCGTGGCTCCACAGCCACAGCCGCCCACAGCCGTGGCAAACTGTGGGCAGCCAGCCGTCAGCCGGCCGTGAATACTTTCAATGAAATGCAACCAAATAGTATATAATAAGTTGTTTTTAGTTGAAACATATAGCCAAAAGCACATTGCAATGGGCTATAGATTCTCAAGCTCATGAAGCATCATAGGTTAAGTGGTTGTGTATCTGGCTTTAGGCCAAAGGCCTGAAGCCTGATGCGCAACACATGCCTACACAAGCCCTTGCAAGGGGGTAGGTACCTACATCAACAGAAAACATAAACAACGAGCCAGAATAGAAGCACTAGCAGTGTAGACATCTAATGCCAAATCCTGAAGCATGGTTGTGGGAGTGGGACAGAACAACAGACCCTGATGCTTTTCATTATCAATGTTAGGTATGGAAAATGAAACTGAAGTTGATGGACTGTCAAACAGTGATTGTCTAGTCAAAACTCTTGCTTCTTTCTTACCTTGCATATTTTCTGGGGTGTGATATGCCAGGCTTGAAGCAGCCTTCTGAGCAAGTCTCAAACTAATTTGATATGCAAGGCATCAAAACACTAGTGAGCATCCAAGAAAGAAAAACATTCATCTATTTTGATTTTTCCAAATAATGATCTTCGCTCAAATTCCCAAGGACGTGGGAGCCACAATTGCCTCTTTCAATCAAAAATTTTACTTGAGTTTTTAATGACGTCAATAGCAAAGAAGTGGTAATAAATTGTTTTGTGTTACTATAAACAGCCATAAAAATATAATTAATAAATAATAATGCTATACAGTTAAAAACTTGCTCTCAAACACAGAATAAGTATCAAATTTTTACATTTTCAGAAGAAGACGTCATTTTATTAGTAAAGTCAACAGCTCGCGTAAGAAATATTGTGTTCAGGGTTTTCACCGTCATGTGAATTACGATTTACGTGTTCAGGGTTTTCACCATCATGTGAATTAACCGTAAGTAAGGTTCATGCTCACTTATAATCTAATTCCATTGGCTTCGTTGATCAGCATTTTCTGTTAGCGGTCACTCACACACCAGTTAGAACATAAAGCGCCAGTTTTATATTATGTAATTGGACTTGCCGAAAATCCAGAAATACATCTAAGAGTTATTTTAGATAATATTTTATGAAGCCTTTACCTGCCTTCACCTAGGCGTGGTTTCTTTTTCTATTACCTGAAAGAATTATTGAACGCTCGTCCTCAATAGCTGTAAGGTGCTCTCCTAATGACCAGGTGAGATTGGTTTGAGAGGGATGTGACAATGCAACATGTTGCATTTTCTGAAACTGTCAAGCTCTTGATGATGAAGGAACAATTGGTACCTATAATTAGTATTCTGTACCAGAGTGCGAACTCCCCTACAGCAAATGGTAAAACCATTACAGGTTTTCAAAGGCTTCACCACTTTCAAGGCTGCTGGGCATCCTTTGCATGATTTTTACAGGCTAGACTGCTTATCAGAATGTAAAATTTAAGGATTTAAAATTTTATATTTGAGTACTTAAGATTAAGCTTGAAATCTCACAGCCGTGGCCACAGCCGTAGCCGTGTTCTTGGAGATATTTGCAGCCGCCCCGGCCCACAGCCGTGGGGCTGCAGCCAGCCGCGGCTGCAGCCGGCCGGTGCAGACCTCTACTTAGAGTCCTTTTCTCATACCCGTCCCTAATTGTGGCACAATACAATTTCTTTGCAGTCCGTAAACCATTCCCCCATGGGGTATTTGAACAACGTCTCTGAGCTCCGAGGTGAGAGTTTCAGCACATATAGACTATGTCCGCTATCATATCTGCGCACACAACATATGGAGTGGCACATATCAAGCACCGCACGTCACGCAACTGAGACGGTTTTCTTTGCCCGCAGGACGGCCCGGCGGCAGTGACCCAGCTTAGAGACGAGCTGGTACTCGACCGTCTGGCCTCGCTGTCGCTGCACAGCCGCTACGGAGCCCTGCAGCGAGAGGCCGTCGAGCTGGACACCAAGATACGCCAGCTGCAGGACTGCGTCGACAGCTTGGTGCGCCTTCAGCAGAGGTGAGACAGACTGGTACAGTGGTGAGATAGGCTGGTGTGTAAGTGAGATGGTCTGGTGCAGGGATGAGATAGCCTGCAGTGAAGGTGAGATAGCCTGGTACAGAGGTGAGTCAGCCTGCAAAAGAGGTGAAATAGTGTGCAGCAGAGGTGAGGCATGTTGAGACAGTCTGGTGCATGGTGAGACAGTCAGCAGCAGAGGTTAGATAGTCTGATGAGTCTGCAGTAGGGGTGAGACAGGCTGGTTCGCCTGTAGCAGACGGGAGACAATATGCAGCAGATGTGGGGAGGTTTCATGTGCACTTCCAGCCCGCTCGGATGGCAAAGATGCATTTTTTTGCGATTTCTCAGTTTGACAAGTTTTAGGCTGGTTGGACGTAACCTTGGAAAGACGTATTACGTCTGTTCTGAAGCAAGCGAGCTTTACGTGCTAAGGTTTAGCTTCACCGTATAAAGCTCTTAGAGAATCGCGTAGCGTACCTATTATAATAATTATCATAATGCTTCAATACAGAATTATTCACGGCCAACGCTGCGCTCACTATTCAATTTCTTTACTTTTTTCCTTTTTTAGCTCTCTATATTTTAAAGACGGCACCATTGTCAGAGGTATTTTTCACGCCACTCTGCTGCGTGGTGAAGGGTGGTCGATGCCACATGTCAGCAGCAATCTCCAGTTGGCAGCTCTTATCGATCGTTCAGTCAAAGTGAAGCCGGCTTTAGGGCAATTTACATTTGGGCAGGTGGGAGCACAGGGCTTTGTGATAACGGCATCCTAATGCAAATTTTTACCCATTGATGATGGTCCCAAAGAAATATTAACGTATATTTTCTGGCCACGGAGGACAAGCTGTTAAGGATCAGTAACTCCATCAATCATGATATTTTTATATTTCAGAGGAAATACACTTCTCTCAGAGGCATTGATGTCACTCACTTCTCACGTAAGATTTGTGTGGATGCTCATTTTGAGAAGTGATTAGCATTGTTCCTGCAGAGAGTGAACCCACACAATGAACCGCCTTATCCAGCGCTATTTCCCGGACTACAGTCTGTTTGGATTGCTGGTCGGAAGGACGCATAAACCACGCTGATTGACCGTAGCGGGCGCTGCGGCGGCCGTGAGCGGCCCGGCGCCGGCTGTTGGGGCCCTCCGGCGGCGCCCCGGGCCATACACCGGTGACATCTGGACGATAGGCTTATGCAAAGTGGCTGCCCCTGTGCTGGCGGCGGCTCGAAAAGCCAGCGGTCGATGACATCTGATTGGTCGGCACGTGGAGCGTGGCGGCTCTGAGGCTGGAAAGTGGGACAGCCTTTCTACGCTCTCCACGGTGGCAGATGCATTGTATATTTTTAATATTATTTTTCTTTTTCTTTTGTCAGGTTTCCTTGCAAGACAAGTTCCAAATAACTGCAAACTGCTCCAAAATATCTAGTTATGAACATTGTTGTTCAAATTTTACAGCGCCGTTTAAGTGGTATATAGAAATATGTGGTGAGATAAAAAAAGCGTGATGGAGTACGATGACAAGTATATTTGAAATTACCCCATTAGTGACAGGCTCCCATGGAGATTACGAATGTAATTATTTAATTATTAACGTAAGTAGAGTCGATTGCTTCTTTTATCGTACATTGACGCACATTCAATTTTTTTCTCTAAGCCGCCACTCAATAGCCGTTTTCACGACGGGCTATATCCGGTGAGTGCACGTAATTTGACCAAATCTGCACCTTATCTCTCTTACAGCAAATATCTTTATTTTATGAAGTTATTTCAGCGTTTTTATCGATGAATCTCTCTGATAATAAGACAAAGCAGGCATATAAGCAATTAGTGCAACCGTAGCTGATAGCTACTAAGAGATACACTGAACCTGATTTGACCAAATCTGCACCTAACCTGTAGCAGATGTGCACCAAATGTGTACCAGATGGCCGTCTTGAAAACTGCTATTATCGGGTGACCAGGAGTGCCCCCTCCCTCTATCCCAGCGACACACAGAACCTTACGCAACCACCAGGTCCAGAATAACTTAAAATTTCAAGTCGCGGCACTCCCTGCTGGCTGCTAGGAAATGAAATGCAATATTATGGATAACTAGAATATGAATAACTTTTTGATTACACTTGCACGTAAAACTATGCTTGTGTATCCCTACTTGCTTGCTGCAAAGATGAAAAACAAACTACGTTATTATAACAAAAAGTCATATATTGTTTTTGCCATGCAACAGCAACCAACGCTTGTATATATTAATTATTTGAGTTTCGCTGAAGGAAATGTTTATCAAGCTACCCACCGTTTATTTCAAATTATAATGAACCTCAATGCCTAGGTTGCATGCCATTTAATATGCACAACAGGATGCTCCACTGCATTTGGGTTGCAGTTTAGGACGTCTGGTGCTCAAACCATAGCATAATTAATGCCTAAAACCTTTTTTTCTGCGATCGTTCCATGCTTCAGGACCTGTGTTGTCGGAGGTAGGAGCTTATTCTGACGCCGGCTGGGTGCATTACTGCTGGCTTTTTCCATCAGACGTCAGAGAAATGCGCTGGCACAGTGGAATAAGTTGATGCAACACCCGGTACTACTGGAAACTTTGCAGTCAACCTGTAGCATTAGCATTGCTTAGGTCAATCCGAGTACATCCTGCTCTCTCTCTCTCTCTCTCTCTCTCTCTCTCTCTCTCTCTCTCTCTCTCTCTCTCTCTCTCTCTCTCTCTCTCTCTCTCTCTCTCTCTCTCTTTCTCTCTCTCTCTCTCTCTCTCTCTCTCTCTCTCTCTCCCTCTCTCTCTCTCTCTCTCTCTCTCTTTCTCTCTCTCTATCCCTCTCTCTCCCTCTGCCTTCCTTATCTCCACCTTTGCGCCTCTCTCGCCACCACCGTCTGAATCCATGACACAGACCGCAGCCACAGTAGCGGATGTGAGCCGACCGCCGCCGTCGTTGCCGACGCCGACCATTTCGATCGACGTTACCGACGAAGGCGGCATCCGCTCGCTACCGACGCAGCGCCGGCGGCGGCGGCGGCGGCGGAGGCATTCCGCCTGTCCGCAGCTGAGGCGTGCGGGCGGAGGTGCGGTGAAACGCACGGGGTCTACGATCGTGATAGGGACCCGAACAGGTAGGCAGGAGCTGGGCTGCACTGTAGGCGGGAGCTAGGCCGACAAGTAAGGCGGGAGGTGGATGGGTTGTAGGCGGGCGTTGGGCCCACTGTAGGCAGCAGCTGGGCTGAATTTAGGTGCAAGCGGGTCCCGATTCATCTGTGAGTGGATGCTAATCTGTGCTGGGTGTTCTATGTGTGTGGGTGTTTTTAAATGGAGAGCCAGAATGGATGAATGAATGGATTGTACCGGGAACGAGCCTGTTGAAAATATTATTATTTTCAAAGAACCATTTTGTTTGACATTTGCCAGCCCACGCTAGCTTTACCAACAGGAAAATAATTGGCTGCCGGCATTTGTATTTCTTTCAGTCTCCCTCAACTTAAACCAACCACACGAAAATGCCGATAATGTGAAAGCATATCATTTAGACTTGATTAGAGTTGCAAAGTTTTCCCCGAAGGCTGCTACCGGCACCGCCCCGCCCCACAAAAATTTTCTGGGATACCGGCATGCTACCACGCCCCAAGCAAAAAAACCGCCAAATTACCGGCATACTAAAAAACCTGCATTCTTGATTCTAGCTTACCCCTGGAAGAGTGCCACATTTTGGCAGTTTCAGTACCCCTCCCACCCGACAGCCATCCATTGTCCAACCACAATTACTGTATGCCTGGCCTATTCAAATACATTAGCCAGAGGGGTGTGGTAATAACTGGTGTAAGCAAATTGACCACGGTCAAAAATGCATTACCAGAATGCACTAAAGCCAACATTTTGGGATGGTCTCGTTCCTAAGTCGGCTAAGAGCTTCGGTCCAGAAAATAAATTTATCGTTGGCATACAGTAAAATACATACCAAACTCGGCCGGTGATAAATTTTCAAGACCTCAGTCCTTACTGATTTTTGAACTCGGCCTTCGGCCTCGTTCAAAAATCCAGTAAGGACCTCGGTCTTGAAAATTTATTTACACCGGCCTCGTTCAGTATTATATAATACCAGCAGGCTGATTTTGGCTGAGTTGGCCCCACAAATACCCACGATTTTGAAACTCAATTCCAGTCTTACTGTTAAAATATCACCTGTAATCAAAGAAGTATTGCCTACAAAAAAAACTATTACATTCATCAAAAAGGTGAGGACAAAAAGGACTTGAATTACTGAAATGTGTTTTTGAAGACTGGACAGTGAGCAGTAATCACATTTACATTTCACAGGTGTTCTACTTTTCCATATTCTCCTAAAATGTTGCAGGCACCAGCCAAATGTTTAAAATCTAGATGGTCAAAACATAGGTAAACAAGTACAGATTCGGCCATCTGCCTTACTGAGGAAGCGAGATCAACATATACTTTTTCCTATCCACTATGGCTTGCTGGTTCGTGAATAAGATACGAATCATGTAAAAAATGTGTTAATAACTCACTGGTCCTGAGAATAGTCACCAAATAATATGTATAAAAACGATATCTTCCATCCTCTCCAACCTCAAGCGGGAACAAACACAAGGTTATCGATTTCGAAACAGATGCGCCATAACAGAGGCTTTTCACCAGCTGATTAAAACGCTGCAAAAAAAAAAATGTTTAACGACTGCAAGCCACTGCCTCGTGAATGATTATATTAATAAAAATTATCTTACCAATATTAAATTATAATGAAATCGACATTGTAGTGTAATTCACTACAAATAAATTTATTTCTCTTCAGTTATTCAACCAAAAGGGTAAATGAATAAATATTACGTCATCAGATTACATCCATTCATTAGGGGAGAGAGAATCTTAAAAGTAAATCCTTGGTTGTCTAATTGTTTGCGCCACTTTTTGTCAATTTTGCGTGCATGATGGGTTTTCTTGTAAAGATAGGACAAAATGCCAGTTCAAATCCATTTT